GAGACTTTCTCTGGGTACAAACCAACCAGCACAAGGGAGCACCTGGTAGCCCCCAGCACCAGAAGGGGGTGGGTTCTGCTGGCCTGTTGAGAGCTCTTGCAGTTTTCTACCAGGAGCTGAGCAGTCCTGTGCCCAGCTGGCCCCAAGCCTGGTGCAGTGGTGCCCTCTGCTGCCCAGAATGCCACACTGCCTGCCAGGGCTCAGGGAGCCATACACCTGGAGAGGTGACCCTCACCTCAGAGTCCTGAGCTCAGGAAGACCAGCTACACCTTCTCCTGCCCACCTGGCCTAACCCTCACTGCATGGTGCCCTATGAGGGTCACTTGAAGCACTATTCCCACCAAACCCCTGAAATGAGATGCCTGGGGAGAGCTCGGCAACCCCACCATCCTCTGCCACACATCACAGCCCCAACCCGAGCTGGCTGCTCAGCCAACAGCGGCAGTGTGGGAAGGGCCAGTCTCCTCACTCAGCCCAGAAGAGAAACCCAGACTGCATTCAGCCTCTCGAAAGGAACCTTTCTCCTCAGTCAATGAAAGTTAAATGAACTGGGCCATGTGGAATGCCTGGTAAACAGTAGGTGCTCAATAAATGCTAGACCTTTCTGATGCCAGATTTCGGCTGGCACAGCCTGCACCCCATCAGAGCCTGGGCAGGGCAAGTTGGAGCAGTGTGGCTCCTGGATCGCTCTGTTTCTTCATCAGTAATCGGAGGCCAGCAGTGTGCTCTGACTGATCCCTCAAGTCCCCCTCAGGAGCAGAGCTGAGGTGCCACTTCCCTTGCCGGCCCTCGCTCTGCCGCCTGTCCTGAGGCCTCTCTCTTCTTCCCCCAGAGGGGAACGTGGACGGGAAGTTCAGTGTGGGCTACCGCGATGCCATGGTGAGGACCGTGGTGGGCCTGGACCGCGAGACCACAGCCGCATACACACTCGTCCTGGAGGCCATTGGTACGTGCCCACTGCATGCACCCCACCAGGGCAGTCGTTCTGGGCGGAGTAGGGAAAGGGCCACCAGACTCACACCAGTGTCACCAAGCCCTCGGGGATGTGAGGTCACCGCTATGCTTATGCGAGTTGCTAGGATGGTGAGCAGAAGCTTGTCAAGGGGAGACTGAGACAAGGGCTGACATAATGGTGCAAAGGGTGACAGGACCGTGGGTGCAGGGAGGTCAGGGAAGCTTCCCGGAGGAAGCAGCATCCAGGAACTCTTTGGGTTGCAAATTCTAAAAGTAAAATAAACTGATTTCACCAATATGAGCACACAAAGCCTATCCCCCTGGTGATCTAGCTGCAGGTATGGCTGGATTCAGGGCTCAGGTGATGCCATCAGGCCTGTCTGCAGGGCCCGCCTGCCCTCTCTGCACCGCAAGGTGGCTGGCCAGTGGTTGCAGCTGCTCCTCCTTTCCTCCTCGATCCATCTCCCCAGCACAGTCCCCAGGCAGCTCTGGTTAGCTCCTGGGTCCCAGCATCCCCCACTGAGCCCCTCTGCAGCCAGGAGAGAGAGGTGCCCATCCCTGAGCTGGGGTGCTGCACCTGCCCAGAATCCCAGGCTTCAGTGTCAGGGAGTAGGGAGTCCTCAGAGGGACACGGTCTTCCAGGAGAGGGCAGGGGCTGATGGACAGACACAGGGTGCCCACCACGGTCTTGAGGGCCAAGCAGGCTTTCAGTGGGTGGAGAAGCCTCTCAGGCACTTGGGGCAGACGAACCAGCTCATGCACACACCTGGAGGGGGGAGAGTCCTGTGCGTGTGTGTGTGTGCGTGTGCGAGTGTGTGTGTGTGTGTGTGTGAGACAGCTGTCCCAGGGTGTGACCTACACTGGGAAGGAGAGGCTGCCATCCAGTAGGGCTGGGTTGTGGTTCCAAACACTGAGTTGGAAGTTTGGTCTTTGATCTTCAAGCAGTGGGGAGCCCTTGAAGACTGGAGGGGAAGAAGAGGTGATGTGGCCTTTGTGCCCCAGGGCCCTGGGCCCCTCAGCAGCATGCATTTCTGTGTTTGCAGTGAGCTCTGTGTGAGATGGGATTGAGCTTTCTGCACCTGGCTCTTGGCAGCCCGCTGTCCCCCCAACCTGGTCATGCCCGGCTGCCTGAGCCCTCTGCCCTGCTCTCTTCCCATCCTGGGTGCTACCCTGCCCTCTGCAGATGAGTCATCCTCAGGCTTCAGCAGGATGGCAGGGCTCAGTGTCTGACTTTCTAGAAGCTCTCCCAGCTCGGTGTCTCAGCTGGATGGAGCTGGCAGGGCCCTGGGGTGGCCAGAGGCTGGTCTAGGGAGGACCTGCCCTGGGGCAGGCGACTGCACCCATATGTGGTCATCTGCCCTGGGAAAGGATGGAGTTACCCTGGGTCCCCAGCCAACTCCTGCTATCTGGCTCCTCCCTGGGGCTACCGCCACACCCGAACACATAGCCCTAACTTCCGAGGAGGACAGCCCAACAGCTGCCTCAGGGCTGGGCCGAGGCGCCTGTCCTTACCACCCCTGCTCAGCCCGGGTGAATCCTTAGGTTTGGACGCCAAGCAGGTCCGGGACCCTGAATGCAGAAGGCCCCGGGCTAAATCTGACCCCCACCTTTATGCCTCTGATTTGTGTCATTTATAAGGAATGACTAGAAGGTGTGCACACTAAGAAATCAGGACATTTTATTTAAAATTCAGATGTTTAATTTTTTGAAAAACCAGAAGTTCTAGTGTCCCTGGCCCTCATCCTGCCTGTCCCCTGTGGAGTGCAGCCAAGGATGGTGTCCAGGTGACCCAGGTCCCTTTCCGGGGCCCTGGGATTGTGGGAACCAATCATCGCAAGCTCGGTAGCTTAAAAGAAGAGAAAGCGTCCTCTCCTGGCTCAAGAAGGTATTAGCAGGGCCACAGTCCCTCCAAAGGCTCTAGGGGAGAGGCCTCCCTCGACCCTCAGTTTCTGGTGTCTGTAGGTATTCCTGAGCTGTGGCACCATCTTCACTTGGCCTTCTCTTTGCTCCAAATCTCCCATTGCCTTCTCACTCTCATCCTCTCTCTCTCTCTCTCTCTCTCTCTCTCTCTCTCTCTGTCTCTGTGAGACAGACTCTTACCATGCTGCCCAGGCTGGTCTCAAACTCCTGGTTTCAAACCCTACACCTGCTTCAGCTTCCCAAGTGCTGAAACTACATCTCTTATTCTACAAGGATACATTGGGCTTCTGGCCCACCTGATAATCTAGGATGATCTCTCAAGATCCTTGATTTAATTGCATCATCAAAGACCTCTCTTTCAAAATAAATGAGCATGCACAGCTTCCTAGGGGCTTACCCTCTCCACCTGTCTGAGCCTCAGTTGCCTCCTCCAGGAACTAGGGAGGATAATGCCCAACCACAGGGCTGCTGTGGGGACCGAGTGAGTTAGAAGAATGCCCGGCTGCTGGTGTTATGTGAGTACTAGATATTGTTAGTGATGTTCTTTATCTGCAAAGGAAGTCTCCAGACACAGGCCAGCGTAAGGTGACGCAGAGCAGGGTGCATCTCCGGCCAGTGCCCAGGAAGTCTGCCCCTTGCTAAAACCTGTCCTTCGTCTCCCACAGACAATGGCCCCGTAGGCAAACGGCACACAGGCACAGCCACTGTGTTCATCACCATCCTGGATGTGAACGACAACCGACCCATCTTCCTGCAGAGTAGCTACGAGGCCAGCATCCCTGAGGACATCCCTGAGGGCCACAGCATTGTGCAGGCAGGTGGCCATGGACCCTGGGGCAGGTGGCAGGTTGGGGAAGGCAGGGGAGTGCTCAGCTTGGAGGGTGCAAGCTCAGTTGCATCATAGCATGGAGGGTGGGGACAGGAGAAGGTCTGGGGTGGGCCTGCTGCTCGAGAAGTGGTCACTGCTGTGAGAAAAAGGGCACCCAGCTCCCTCATCCCTCCCAGGGAGCATGGGCCCCAGGTGGTATCAGCTGAGGACAGGGCCCTGGCCCCCCAACAAGCAAGAGGGCCCTGCTCTCCCTGTCCTGGCAGCTCTGCAGCCCCAACGCACCCATAGGGGCCTTTCAGAGCAGGAATGAGGGGAGGTCACACTTTCCCAGAAAGGAGCAGGGGAAAAGAGCCAGGCCCTGCTAGGCCAGAACAGAGTGGCTTTCATAGCCCTTGGCCGAAGCCCCTTTTTGGAAGCAACAGGCAGAAGAAGAAAGGGCTCCTTTGCCTTGGAGCAGGAGAGCGACCTCTTCGAGGCTCAGAAGGAAAAGGAGGAGGACCTCAAAAATGAGCTCATTCCCCCTCTTCCTGACCCCAGCCAGCCTCATTGCCAGGTAGGGAGGGAGGCCAGGAATGAATGACTCTCTTCACCAGCTGCAGGGCTTTCCTAACAACTCAGCCAAACACAGCAAATCTGCGCCTGCCCTGGGCAGGCTCTGGGCTGGGGCAGGGATAGAGGCTGGGAGGCACAATGCCTATTTCCTAATGTGGGGACCAGGAGCAGACAAGAAAGGGACTGAGACCAAGGAGCTAATTCCAGGAAGCCCTGGGGATGTGCAGGAGTCTGGTTCCAGGAAGAGGGTTCTCTCCCTCTGGCCTCAGCTCTGGAGAGCCCCCCTGAAAACTATGTGAGACACAATCCAGCCTAGTATCTGCCTGGCTTACTGATAGGCACCCCAAGACCCACAGCCCTTCCAACATAGGGGTACAGACAGACCTCTGAGAGCCCCCCATTCCCACAGCTTTTCCTTCTCCTTCAGGCATCCAGGCACCCACCCCCACCCCCACCCCAAGGGAATACCTCTGCCAAGCAGGGCCTGCTGGCCAGGGAACAATGTGTGTGTGTGGGGGGGTGGCAACCCACAGGGCTCAGGCCCTGGGGAAGCAAACCAGGAAGAGGCAGGAGGAACAGAGCTGATGGGAGGAGGCCTGCCCAGTTCCTTTACCCCAGAGAACTGGTTTCTATTTACACAACACTGCTCACGACCAAACTCCTAGAGTCTGTGAGTAATGTGAGGCTCTGTCTTAGTTACTTTTTCTTGTTTCTGAGACAAAATACCCAGCACCCAAAGTTAAAGGAGAAAAAGTTTATTGTAGTTCACAGTTGGTAGAGGTTCTGGCTCCAAGGCAGGGTGGCATGGCAGAGGGGAATCGCAGAGGAGAAACAGTTCATGGTGGGCATAAGGCAGCAAAGCAGTGACGTAGCAAGCACAAACTGAACACAGCAACCCTCTTTCTGTCCCTTATATTCTATCCAGGCTTCCTGCCCTTAGGGTGGGTAGCACTCACACCAGGGAAGGGCACCCTTAATCCTACCCAGAACTATGCCAAGCCAATCAATGGACTAATTTAGTAATCATACACCCTTGATCCCAGCATCATACTCTAGATCTGGCCACCTCTGAAAAGCTCCATCTATGACCTCATGAAAATTTGGGGGGATATCTAGACACAAGTCATGGCAGGCTCCTTGCTTCTCCCCCCTCCTTCTTAAGGAGAAGTTCAGGTCTCTGGGTGCCTCCTCCCATGCCCTATGAGGAGTTTCTGGCAAAGCTGGGTTCCCCATCTGAGGTCAGACTGAGCTGGAAGAGGGAGAGGGAGGGAAGGGAAGGAGGGCAGGCAGCCAGGTGCAGTGGCCCCTCCAGCAGGGCCTGCCTGGAGAGCGGTCTTCCTTCTGGAGACATCAGAGGGCAGATGGGGCCCAGGGTTGTGCTGGCTTCTTACAGGTCTCCTGCTGCATTGGGGTTAAGGATGCATGCAGCCTGGGCAACCTTCACCCCTAAACAAAGGTTCAATGCTTCTATTCCCAGAGCTGGCAGGTCAAAGCAGGAGGTTGGATAAGATCTAGCTCTCCACAGGCTCCCAGGCTTGGAGGAAAGAGACATAGGCAAGACAATGTAGGTTACAGGAGGAGGAAAGTCAGAGTTCCAGGCAGGAGGGTAGTTTGGCTGGAGGAGAGAGGGCTTTGCAGAGCAGGAGCTGCGTGAAGCATAAGGTGGACAGGGAGGACAGGAGGTTTCCTGGAGTCTCAGCTTTCCAAGAGAGACACATTTAATTCAGGAGTGCAGTGTACACCAGGGTAGGAGCTTTGGCTGTGTCCAGTGGGCATTAGGGAGCCAGTGAAGGTTTGGAAGCTGGGGAGTGACAAACCCAAGGCCCAGTCATGGAGAAGACCTGGCTGGCTGCCCTGGGTCCCAGCAGAGTAGGGTGGGTGTGGCCCAGTGGTGGGTGGGGCCTGGCTGGCTGGCTCTTGGGTAGGAAATAAAGCCCTCTGCACACTCTCCCAATTGGAGACCCATACCCTGTTTAGCCTTGGCCTTGAGTGGAAAAATCTAAGTCTCTCGAGTCTGAGAACTCCATACTGATGGATCAGTCAATGAAACACAGAGCGTCCGATATGGGCCAGGATGGAGGTCCCACAGCTGTCCTGGAGGTCTAAACGGTCCCACTTGAAGGGAGGTGGCCTCTTTCTCTGGGTGGGGCACAGGGCAACTGCAGTACCTCCTCAGTACCCAGCTGCCATCCCCTCCTCCTGCTGGTGGTAGCCAGCCCCCTGCCTCCCTGGCACTGCCATCACCTGCCCTGGTCTCTCCTGATCTTTCCTGTATGACCCAGGGGTCGTCAAGCAGGCAGCAGCAGGGGCTCTATAGGGAGAAAGTCCTCTTCCAAGGCCACCTCTGGGAAAGGACCTGGACTAGGCACCCGAAGAAGCCCTTGGGGGCGGGATGTGGGGCATGGGTTGCTTGGGCTGCCGTCTGTAGTCTATGGTGCCAGGTAGGAGGTTCTGCAGGTAAACCTGGGGGCCCCTGTCACATCTTGGTAAATTCCGCACAGTCACTGTCACCGAGGCTGTCGTCGGGTCCCCGCAGGGGGTGTGGAGGGGCAGGCCGGCCCTGGCCCCGCCTGAAGCTGTGCAGGGAGCCACGGAGGGAGCCCAGGCGCTTCCAGAGCCTCAGGTGGGGCTCGCTGGGGCTGGAGGGGTGGTGGGGCAGGCACTCCCGCGCCCGGCAGCAGCTTGGGTCCAGCGCAGCTGGCTTGCAGAGCGTCAGGAACAGCAGGCAGGAGGCCAGTAGGAGGAAGATGCAGGCCAGGGCAATGAGCACTGGGAGGGCGTCTGCCACCTCTGCGAGGGTCCCAGGAGTGGCTGGGGTAGTGAGGAAGGCTGGGGTCCCAGTGAGGCTGGGGCCCTCTGTGCTCATGGTGCCTGCAGCAGAAAGGGACAGAAGCTCAGAGGCAGATCTGGGGACCCAGGGTTGGGGATGGGAGAGACACCTGGAGAAGGTTGCTGGGGACTGGGTGTGGTAAAACTGGATAGCATTAGGGCCACATTACAGGTTAGGACAGTGGGGCTGACAAGTGATAGTGCTGGGCCCAGTCTCCCTGGGGCCTCTTTCTGCTATGCCTCCTGCATGTCTCCCACATTTTAAAATCAGTTTTCATGAATTGCTATAATCTTAGGCTTGGGAACTTGGTATCTAGGGCTAAATACATCAGTAACTTGCCTTATGACTAGGAGCACATCCTAGATTATAAGATACTTATGCTGGCTGACAGGGACCCTAGCAGCTATCTAATGACAGGGCTGCAAACGGGCAAGGGTGGCCCACAGGTGTGCTTCATTAAGTCCTTGTAGCCTTTTTAATTTAATTGTGACTATTTTTTTCTAAAGGAAGATTTCAAATAATACCGGAGTACCTGGCTTGGCTTGAAATTTCAGAATTTCACCTCTAGCCACAGCTGTTCCTTTTAGACAAGGGACTGGCACCCAGCTTGGCACACTGCCCCACAGGCTCACCTGCCTGCCCCTGATATTCCTGCTGTTACTTCCTGATGCAGTCCAACCTGCTCCCGTGGCAGGTTGGGACACCAAGACTCAATTAGGGGAAGGCCACGCCTGAGGCCCCATTGAGAGCTGTGGCCAAGCAAAGGCCAGAACCAGACCTCCTGGCTCCTGGCCCCATGACCTCCCCTTCCCTTTGGCCCCCAACCCTCTCTCTGAGCTCAATGAGCTGCTCCTGGAACAAGTGAGGAATAAGGCCTGGAAGAGCTGTCCAGATGGGCTGGAAACTGCCTAAGACTTCATTCACCTTCGGGGCATTTCCGTTATCATTTAAGTTCATCCATTCAGGAAGGAGTCAGTTGGTCCTAGGTGGAATATGCCCCGGTGGTAGATAATGATCTCAGAGCCTATCTGGCAGGTGACACTGGACCAAAGGGGACAAGTAGGCAACCCCCTGGTGAGCAGTGGCTAGGTGCCCAGGCTAATGGTGCCAGTGCCGAATGCAGGCCCGTGTGCCAAGCTCTTCCTGGTTCCCAAAGGAAGCCAGAAACCTGGATTTTTTTTTTTTTTAAAGGCAAACATTCTTGATGTTTACATGTTAGCAACTAATTCAAATTTATTTAAGGCAAGAAAGGAGTGGGGAGAGGGAATGCAAAGGCCAAATAAACCGGATTCCAAAAAAATTTTAAGTGAATTTTCAAATATTTGAAACACCACACAGGCTAAACAAAACGTATCAGCGGGCTCCATCCAGTGGATGGGCCAGCATTTGTGATGTTTGACTTCTACAAACACAGGCCGGGAAATCTAGAAGAGGGTCCAAGAAAGACTCAACATTTCTGTTTGATCTTGCACTCTCCTCATGCTGGGTACGGCAGAGTTTCCTCCTTCCCAGCTTGCTTCTTAGTGTCCCTGCAGTTTTAAGAGTCAAATTTCTAGCACCAAAGCCCAGTCATGCTGAGGCCCTGCAGGTAGCTGTGAGAATCCCCTTGGGCAGGCAGCGGAGAGGAGCATGGTGCCCAGTCCCCTGTCCCCTGGTACCCGACCCACCCCAGGCACTCACCGGCAGCTGCAGGACCTAAACTCCTGGCTCCCTCGTCCAGCTGACTGAGGGCACCCAGAGCTGCCCACCGCACTTGCGCCTCCCACCCGTGCCTTTCCGCCACTCTCCTGACGCTTGTAGACCAAAAAGGACGCCTCCCAGCTCCCAGCTGGAAACTGTGATGCCTGTCTGGAGAGCGCTGAGGCCAGGCAGTGTGGGTGATTGGCCTTCCTTGGGTCTGAACAGAAGGGATGGGCCTTGCCCACTGCCATCTCCCGTGGGGAGAGACCCAGCCGCTCACTAACCTGCTCTGACCATGCTTGGCTGCAGTCAGAAAAGGGTAGTCAGAGGTGGGTGAAGGCTCTGTTCGACTCATTCTGATGCAATTTCTAGGCCTGTGGATGAGTCTGAAGAACCTGTCAGGCTGACAAAAGGGGCCCAGGCTTCAGGCCTTGGCACTGGCTTTGATTGAAAAAATAAAAACAAACAACCTTATAAGAGAGGTTAGCATCTGAGTGGTTCCTATGGCAGCCAGGGAGTCTGGAATGCTTGAAAACAACCAGACACCGTCCCCAGAGCACGAGGCAAGTCCAGTGGCCAGGTTCCCTTAATGCTCCTGCAGCTGCCTCCAAACTAGGCTGGGGATCATTCTGGGCAGTGGGGGATCTCCCTTTCTCACGTGAGCCCTGCTCTGAATGCACCCCTGCGAGATCATCTACAGCTTCTTTCTTTGAGTTCCTCAAAGCAGGGCCCATAACAGTGAGGAGACTGCTGTGTGGCCTGGCATAGCTGTGCCCCTTGCTGGCCTTGTTTCCGCCTCTGAGCTTACCCTATGTCCTCCTGAGTCGCTGAGGGTCTCATCCCCCACCTCACCAGGCCTTCTCTGCAGCCCCAGCACTGACCTCAGAGCCAGCTGCAGCAGCCCAGCTCCTTGGAGGGAAGGTCTCTGCAGCTGTCCCAGGAGGCCGGGGGAGCACCGGATGGCACTGTGCCTGGCCCTGCCTGGGCCCTGCGTGCCCTGCACCCTTCAGCCTGACCCGCCAAGTAGGCCTGTGGCCCTCACTCTGGCTGGACCTGGCTTTGCTGAGAGAGTGGGCCTGCCTTGGAGGAGGGGACAGCTGAGCTGGTAGAGGTGGCAACTGGGGGGAAAGGGAGAGGTGTGGGCCTCACTCCAGCCGTCTCCTGGGAGCCCTCTGAGGGGGCAGGCGCTGGGGGGTGCGGGGGGAGGGTTCATCTGCCTCCCAGCCACTAGGCTGGCTCTCCTTTTCCCCCTTAGAAGTTAGAATGGTATGGTCGAGGCAGCCTGTGGGCCGCTATTCAGTGCCTGCCAACCCCCAGGTTACCAGGGAGAGGGGCTACATGCCTGAGGCACCAGGAGGGAACAGGCAGAGACCTGCCCTGCATTCCCTAGGCCCCTGCAGTGCCCCTGGGCCCGGCTCTGCCAGGCCTCAGAGAAGTGCCTCCCTTCCAAGAGGCCTCCAAGGCAGAAGGGAGGGGCAGAGGCATTTGCAAAGGTCAAAGAGGTCACAGAACAGAAAGCACAGGACTGAGGGAGGATCATGCTCCTCTGGGCATGGGCAGGCATGAGGTTCTCTTCAACGCACTCACTCACTCCCTTCCCCGAGCTCCTTCTCAGAAACGAGTCTCCCTGGCAACCAGCTGCCCGCTCCGGAGCCTGGGTCTTGAGCAGCTTCCCCAACAGGGGCCTGCAGATTCCTAGAAGGTGACACAGGAGGAGTTGTGGCTGTGTCCGAGACCTGAGCCTGGGACCCGGCCCATCTCTTAGAGCCCATAGTCCTTGACCACAAAAAGAGGCACTATCTGCCAGCCCCGGTATGGAAAGGAACCTTGCCTGGACTATCAAAGGCTAGAGAGACCTGCAGGGAGCAGCTGACACAGCCCCTTCTCTCAGATGACAAAACTCAGCTCCAGAGAGGTGTGGCCAGCCCAGGGTTGAAGTGAGTTAGTGATCTGCAGGATTTGGTGCTGAGTGGGCAGCAGGTCCTGACACTGTATGAACAGCATCAGGCCGAAAGAGGGCCCCAACACCCAGAGAAGGCCCGCCTGCACTGCCCTCGTTTTCCTTACCCTCCTCTTCCCAAACTGAGGATAGTGTGTCTCTGGCCCTGTTCTCCTGAGATGGCTGGGGTGAAACTTGCAGGATGGTGCAAGCACCAGGGAGGCAGGCATGGAGGGATCCTTCAGGCTTCCTCTGGGCAACTCTGGCCTCCCTGCCCTGCTGCCTCCCCAGTCTGGACTGTCAGACCCACCTCGGCCCTCTATTCCCAGCTCCTTAGACTCCTCAGGGAAGAGGAGGGAAGGAACTCCACAGCAAGGGGCGACCCAGCTGTCCCCACTTCAGTGTCCACCAAGAGGGCCTGCCTGGAGAGGGTTACAGAAACCATCACCACCTCTCCCGTGTTGGTACCAGATGAGAGGCTTTGTAGGATTACTTTTACCCTTTCCTTCAACCCCGCAAGGCTGGGCCCAGTCTACAGGTAGGAAACTGAGGCTCAGGGGTGTGAAAGTACTGATCCATCGTCACACAGCCAGTAAGTGACGAAGCCCAGATTCACACTGGGATTATAAGCAGCTCTCTCTAGCTCTCAGGTTCTTGTTTGGGGGCAACAAATATTGAAGCCAACAAAAGAGCAAGCAGCAAGCAGGTGGGGAATGGCCAAATGCCTGTTTCATAGAAAGAAAAGAAAAGAGCTCCCTGCTTGTCGGGGAGGGGTTTCCATAAAGCAGAAAAACCTTGGATGTTTAGGTCCATTGGCTTTTTATACCGTTTTTGGGACCGGTGTACTCCAGGGAAAGCAGGCTTGCTCCTGGTTGCAGGGAGGCCTTTGAAGTCCGGAGAGCAAGCTGCTTCATTTGCATTTCACCTCTTCCAAGGCCTTCCATGTGGTTAGGGACCTGTTCTTTGTCCCTTGCATTCCATTAGGCCCTGGTAGTCAGTTTGCTTAAGTTAATTATTCTGGCCCTCTGGTATGTTCACTCACAGTTTACTTCTGGTTAACTGTTCCTCAGGACCTGTACCCTGTCTGCCTCATTCCTTTATCTTCTGGCTTCAGGATGTGCCTGACCTAGAGCCCTAGTTCCTCTGGCTCCAACAAACTCCCCACCTTCTATGCTCTTTTCAAGTCCTTAGGTGCAGTTATCTTGGTCTCCGCAGGTCCCTTGAGTCCAGTCAGGCCAAAAGTGCCGCCAGCCAGCCCCACCACTCTGTGCTCCTTGCTTTACCAGCGTGACCCTCCCCCTCCCCCAGCTCCTTCCCCTGTGTCCCCCTGAAGCCAGGACAGACAGAGTTCCCCCAGTCCCCTTGGGCCCCTCAGCAGCCCCCTCACCTGCTCTCTCTGCTCCCAGCCTAATTCTTCCCAACCCTTTCTGTTAATCCAGGTCCTCCCCATCCTTCCAGGCCCCGCTCTTTCTTCTGGGGGCCTGTGCCCAGTCCTGCCTTCAGTGGGCCCTGCTGGCTTGATCATTGTAAACAGGATCCAGTCACCCTCTTCTCAGGAAGTTTGTCCAATGGGCAGAGACAGGAAAGCCTGTTTAGGATCTGGGAGGCAAGAAACAAAGCCTGATTCAGATAACCTTGGCTCAAGGAGACACATGCTGGGGCAATGCTGGGGTTCCCCATGGGCACAAAGGGACGATCCGAGGGGAAAGGTGGGGTTCTGAGGTGGGCCCCAAATACTGCAGTGCTGTGTATGGAGTGTGACCTTCATCATTGCTCCCTGGACATCGGCTTGGTGCCCCTCACAAGAGATTTACACCAAGTCATCCACACAGTCATTCAACAAACATGTGAGCCAACTGTGTGCTGGGTCATTGTTCTAGAGACTGGGGGTGTAAGTGCACACAGTGGCCCCCTTCCTATGGGGAAACGAGCAACAGACAAGGTGTAGGGTGTTGGGGGATGGGGGCAGGGAAATGGGTCTGGGAATGTCGGGGAGGCTGCATCTCAGAGACCATTGTCCCTCGGTATCTGCAGGGACAGCAGGTTTCAGGACACCTCAGATACCAAAAATCCATGGGTGCTCAGGTCTTTGTATACGCACACACATATATGTAACTTATACTCATCCTCCTATGTACTGTATTATTTTAAATATATTTTTATTTTTAATTAACACACACTAATTGTACACATTTATGGAGTACATTGTGACATTACACACTCTCAATGTGTAATGATCAGATCAGGGTAATCGGCATATCTACCCCTCAGACATTTGTCATTCTTTTTTGTTAGGAACATTCAAAATTCTCTATTTATTTTGAAGTACAGTGGTACCTCGGTTCATAAACTTGATTCTTTCCATGATTCTGGTCGCCAACCAAACAGGGCAAGAACTGAATCCAATTTCCCCATAAGGTCAACATTGCACCTAACCATTGAATCCGATTCAATTCTCATCCAACTCAGTTTTTGACTAGAATTGTGAAAAGAATTAAGTTCGTGAACTGAGACACCACTGTATTCACTTGATTGCCGTCAACATAGTTATGCTGCTGTGCCATAGGATGGTACAAGTTACTCCTGCCGCCTATCTGCACCATGTACCTGCCCCCAGTCCTCTCTCCCCTCCCTTCCCCACATCCTTCCCAGGCCCTGGGAGCCACTGTTCTATTCTCCACATCCTTGGAATGAACTTTCTGGCTTCCGCATGGATATAAGGTCATGTGATATTTGGATTTCTGAGTCTGACTTATCTCACTTAACAGCACATCCTCCACTTCATTCCATCCATGTCTCCTCATGGGGCAGAACTGCCTTGTTTTTGTGGCTGAATAATATCCCATTGCTCCTGCAGGCTTTAACTCATCTCTAGATTCCGAATAATACTTAATACAGTGAAACTGCGAGGTCAGCAGTTCTGAATTGTTTAGGGAATAATGCCATGAAGAAATGTCTATACCTGTGCAGTACAGACATAGGTTATTTTAGTATTTTCAAAATGTGGTTAGTTGAATCTGCAGATGGAGGACTGCACACTGTTTAGGGAAAGCCTGTGAAAAGATGGCATTTAAACAAAAGCCTGAAGGAGGTGAGGGAGAGGGCAGGCAAATATCTGCAAGGAGAGTGTGTCAGATGGAGGAAACAGCATAAGCAAAGGCCCTGTGGCCAGCACACACTTAGTGTTCAAGATCTGCAAGACCAGTATGACCACAGCAGAGTTAGTGAGGAGGAAATGGCAGAAGAGGAGCTCAGAGTGGTGGTTTCTCTACACCTTACTACAACACTGACTCACTCCCTCAGCCCAAGATGAAAAATCCCAGCAAAGGCTGTGTCTG